TTTTTTTTCCCTGGAGAAGCTCAGCAAAAATACCAAACTAAAACAAACGAACAAAAAAACCTTGTGAGTCCAAGTGATAGTTTTTACAATTCACATTTATTTTGAAAAAAAAAAAAAAAAAGGTTCTGCTAAAAATACTCCTACAAAGGCATTGGAGAAACAGGGTCAGGAGCCCATGGACACAGCTGGTGAGGTTTCCTTGGTCACAGTAGTGGGGGTCCAGGTCTGACCCACGGCCATCAGAACCCCCGACCGCATCACTTCCCGACCCCCCAACATTATCAGGAACATCGTGTTTATGATCAGAAGAAACAGAGTTCTGTGAAACCCCCCCCCCCCCCCCCCCCCCGCCCCCAGTTGAGAGTTCTGGCCTGATGGCCCAGGCTGGAACTAACACCTTGGGCGGTAAGGGCGGGGGTGGGGGGGCAGGGCGCGGGGAGTCCAGGACATTGGCTCAGACAGTGGCTCTAGGAGGTTAGGATGTCCCAGTGCCCCCTGGAGATGTGGGATTTGACTGGCAAGGGCCTGACAGTGGAGAGGGGCTGAGTGGGCATCCTGGTAGCAGCATAGCATAGTGATTGGGAGGGCAGATGCTGGGGTCAGAGACCACTGGCCGACTTCGTGACCTGGGAAAGCCCCCATGCTGGTCTCTGAATTCCCTGGTCTGTGGAGCAGGAGTAATAACTGTACCTGCCTCGCAGAGCTGTGTGAGGATTAAGCGAGACGCTGTGTGTAAAAAGGTAAGCGTGGCCTCTGGCACATTGTTGGCACTCAAGAAATAGCAGCTGTGATTCGGATTTGGGACTGAGCCTGACCAACCAGTAATTGCTCTTCTCTGTGCTCCAAAGAGGCTGCCTGTGAGTGAGGTTCCTGCCAGGCCTACCCTGGGCCAGCCTCAGGGGCTCCACCTCGGGTCCCCTGCCCACCGGAGGCCCTGTCCATGGAAGGGAAAGCAGGCAGACTGAGCTGTGAGCAGTCCAGAGGCACCTCCACGGGCTGGCCTCCCAGATCCCATGGGCAATAGCCTCCCCTAGAAAGGGTCAAAGGGCCCTTGGAATGGGGCAGGGACTGCGTGGCCATGAGGCTGTCACCCGAGTGGCTCTGGGGTTTGCAGCACGACCCTATGGTTTCCCAGCACTGAAACAAAACACAACACAACACACACACTGGCTCTGCACAGGGAGGTGGTGTACCTGGGGAAGATGGTCCAGCAAATCCCGGGCCCTGCAGCTCCTCTTTGGGGGAGGGGTGGGAGTTCCTCCCAGATGAGTCCCTCCCCAAACCTAGCTAGTGGGGTCCCCACTTGGCTCCTGAGCTGAGCTGTCCAGCCCACCAGCCAGTGGGCACGGTGGTCTGCATGGGGCGTTGCTCAGCGGGGGTAGCTCTGCTCCTCTCCCAGCGAGAGAAACCCAGCCTCACAGGAGGGGTCTTGGCCCTTGTCCAGGTGCAGCTCTGATTCAGACTCAAAGGAGGGAGCTGTTGTTAGTGTTTGTTTTTACCTGCCCCCACCCTCCCTCACCATCTCTCTCTCTCTCTTCTCATTCTCGCTCTTTCTTTGTGCTTTGTCTCTGCCACGGTCCTCAGGTTTGGGGACCAGTGATGAACAAATGGGACTTGAAGGCTCAAGAATGAGCAGCATAGGATCATATGGTGATGGAATGTTAAAAACATGGAATCCTCCCCCTGGAATCTTAGAATTGGGGGCTTTTGCAATCTTAGAATCTTGGGATCGTTGACCCATGGAATGTTAGAATTGCACTCTCTGCAGGAACCCAGAGTGTATGTGGTCCTGGCTCTGACCTCCTGCCTCCCCTCTCCCTTTCCCCTCCTCCAACATGGCTGTTAGATCTGAGTAGAGACAAGGGCCTTCCCTCCCTCACCCTCCTCCAGGGAAAGCATTGTGTCTTAGTCTGGGAAGCAGGGGGTTGGTGGTGGTGGGAAGAGGGGGGCATATGAAGCTCCAGGTCCAGCTGGAAGCCCCCTTCTGCCTTTGCCTGGCCCACCTGGCCAGGTGTTGAGTGAACAGCTCTGGATTGTAGCCTTGGGGTTCGTGGGGTGCCCACAGGGTGGCCCTGGGGGAGCTGCTGGGCCCCTCTGCAGTATTAAGTTCTTGCTTTATCTTGCTATATCAGCTTTCCCGAGGCAGCCTCCACGCTGGGAAGCTAAACTCAGACAGACTCAGGATCTGGGGGGTCTGTCTAATTTCCCTGAAAGCTTAGCACAGTGTGAACACATGCCTGAGGGTCAGCCCTGCCCCCACTTCATGGGTCCTAATCCATGTCTGAGTTTGGGCATCTTATCTGACAATGTCCTGCTTTGTCCTAATCCCTGTCTACACCAGCCCCTCTCTCCACAGACATCAGGGCACAGGGTGTCGAGGGGGAAGTGAAGAGAGGATTTTAGTCTGGAGGAGCCTCCCAGGAGAGCTTGTTAAAACAGAGGTCCCTGGGCTGACCTGGGGGATTCTGACTCGGGGGGTTGGGGCGGAGCCTGCGGGTCTGCCAGCTGAACAAGAGCCCAGGTGATTCTGACACAGGTGGGCGATGGCAAACATTCGGAGAAATCCTGGGAGGTGGGAAAGGGGGAGCCCCGAAGGCAGAGGGCCTGGAGGGAACCCTCTGGCAGCACCTGTGGGCATCTGTTTCCTCACCGGGAGAGGGGGGATGGTAACACCCATAAGGTCCCGAATGTATGGTAAGTGTTCGGTGACTAATGCAATCCCTGTGGCCTCAACCTCCTGCGACCCGCCTCCAGTGGGGTGTCCCTGAGCTTTCCTGTGTCAGAACAAAGGGCCAAGTCACTCTCTGGGACCAACACTCTGACCCTTGGTGTCCCTGAAGGGACACTGGCCAGCTCGAGCGTTCTCCCAGATGTTCTTGACCCTGGAAAGCTGGGTCAAGGCCGGCAGCTGGTGTGTGCATGCACAGAGTGGCTCCCTAGCTTTCCTCTGGGTTTCCCTAGCGTAACACACTGTTGCAAAGGGCAGGACCCAGCCCCTTCCTGGGTGATCCCAGGGCACCAGGGCAGAGATGGGCATCCTAAGTAGTGAGTATGCCACCATGCCACCTCCAGCGCACACCAGGGCTCTGCTCTGTCCCCTCAGGGCTCTTCCATGCCCACCTTCCTGCCTGCCCAGGCCGTCACTGCCACCCACATCTACTCAGCTCTGGTCAGGGCCTGGTAGCTCTCACAGAGGCCTGGAGGGAATGGGGTGGGTATCATCAAACGAAGCTGAATTAAGAATCGGGTAGCACGAAATCCAACCCTGCTGCTCCCAGCAGCTGGAGTGATCTGTGGATTAAATGCGTCAGTGAGGATGGATAATGAAACAGCAGGGCCTGGATTCTCCTGGAATAAATGAGGGCTTCTCCAGGGGCTCTTCTTCCTGGGGGAGGGGGAAGCTGTGGGACATCCTGCCCCCACCTGATGGCTGAACTCACTCCTCCTGGAGCCCGATGCTCACTCTGCTATTATTCTGCTCAAGAACCTGCTGTGGCTGGACTGTGTATCATGTGCAAACTGCCTCGCCCTCCGAGTACATCATCCCCCACTTCCCACCACTCCCTCGGCTCCAGGCAGACACAACCCCTCATTGTTGGAGCATTCCAGCCTCTGGATTTTTAGTTACACTCTACCGCCCACCTGGAATGCCCACCTGGAATGATCGTTCTCTCAACCTCTGTCATTTTCAAGACAGCCTCCTCCATGAAGCCCTCCCTGACAGCCCCAGCCCATTTGAGCTTTCCCTTCTCTTACCAGCCAGCATCAGACACCCAGTACTTGATGTCCTCTGATGGCGTGTGTGGCGTGGGCAATGGAAGCAGATGAACACAGCCTTGCTCTGCCCATTCCTGGTTGGGTAATGCTGAGCAAGCCACTTCCCCTCTCTGAGCCTCAGCTTCCCCCCTACCTAGGGGAGAAAATGGTGCCTCCTCACCCGGCTCACCCAGTCCAGTCCTCTCATTTTACATGTGGGAGACTGAGGCTCAGTAAGGGGAAGTGACTTGCCCAGATCCACATCTTAAGTTAGTGACAAGAGCAAGGCTGCCAGGATGCATTTTCCCTAGCAACCTGCGGCCTCCTGTCCTTTGAATGCATTTACACTGCTTTCCCTGGCAAGAGTCTTCCATCCTTTGGTCCCAGTCTTGGGACTACAGGGGCCCAGGAGAGAGCCAGGAGTGGCCAGGGGCTCAGCACTGGGGGGAGGCGGGGACCAGAGGCCTGGGTCCTTCCTGTGCTTCAGCCAGGTGTGAGGAAGAGCTAGGTAGGGGCAGGGCCCGGGAGCTCCCAGTCTTCTGGAGATGAGCCCGATTGCAGAGGGGTGCAAGGCTAATGACTGCACACAAGGGGGTGGCAGAGAGCTCCCTGAGCGCAGGCAGCGTGGGGACCAACTAGAAAAGATGGGGAAAGCCCCGCTGATGCCCTATGGGCAGGAAGCACCACTGGCTAGTAAACAGCCACTGCCCGGAGTCCCGTAAGTGTCTGCTGCACTTCCATCATCTATTCTGATCGGTCTGCCCACGTCTTACCAGTTGATCGCTATCATCCCCCAAGAAGAAGCCTGCTGATTATCAACAACAACTCATTTTAGGGGCTTCTGGAGCAGTAGGAGCGGAGGCGATGGCCCCGCTATTACCCAGTCTGGCCTGTGAAGATCTGCTTGTCACTCTCGGAGCAGCTGGGCCCATTTCCACGGTGCCCTGGCCCCTGTTCACAAGGCAGCTTTTCTTTCCTCAAGTACCAACTGCGTGCAGAGCAGCCGGAAACGCCTCTCACACTGCTGGGCAGGTGGGGCTGGCACTTGGGGCGATGGAGCCAGGAAAGGATTAGTAACCAGGCAGCGGGCAGGCGGCTCAGAGCCGTGTGCCCGGGCCAGCAGCTCGGCCGGCCACTTCCTGCTGAGAAGCAAGAGGTGGTGGGGGGGCTGCTCCACAGCAAGAGGCAGGCCCCCTGGATGGTCACAGTGACGTCTGTCTGTCATCCTGCAATGGAGACAGAGGGTCAGGGGAGCACCCTTACTCTTGAGAAGCAGGCACGAGGGGGCCCAGGACCACTGAGGACGCAGGGCCCTGGAGGGTGGATGGGCAGACGTGCTGGCGAGCAGACACCAGCCTATAGGCTTAATGCAGGAAGCCATCTGACAGGAAGCACTGAGTGCCAGCCCCCTGTGGTGGCAGTGGGGGTGGGGGGTAGGCAGGCTGGGGACTCAGAGTTAATCTGAAGAGCATCAGGGCAGCTCTCTCCAGAAGGTGACCTTGTGTGCCGGGACAGCTGCCACCCGTGCTGGGCATCTTTGGGGCACAAGGGTGGCCGACTCGCCAAGACTGGCCAGTTTTAGGGAAACCAGCCAAGGCCTTCCCTGTGGCTTACTCTGCTGTTCCCTCCACCGGGGCGGGGGAGGGGGATGCTCCCCTCTAATCCCTTCCTTCCCTTTGCATCTCGGGCTCTGGAGAACAGGTGAGTGACAGACGACAGGCTGGGCCATGCGGGATGCTCTGTCGGACCACCGAGTGGCCTTTAGCTGGCCACCTGTGACCTGAAACTTTGCCACTGGTCAGTCTCCCATGGACAAAGGGAAAGGTCCTGAGATGAGGCATCCCTGACCTCCCCCCTTTAGAGTTCCTGCCTCCTCCTCCACAAAGAATTCTGAGTTTATGTGAGTAGGAGCCCATTTGCGCAGAGATTAGTTGACCAGGAAAAGGTGATCATTCCTGTGGCTTTGTCTGGGGGCGTGGGGGGGGGCGTGGGGGAGGGTCCATGAGTACGCTGGGACCCTCGCAGTCCCACCTCACAGCTCACCTAATACCTAGACCCCCACTCCCTGGCCCGGGTGAGCTGAGTGCACCGCCAAGCCCCTGCTCCTGATGCATCCTGCAGAGGCAGCAAGCGTTCCTTCCAAGTCACGTCTTCCTTTGCCTGTGCTTTTGACAAGCCTGAGCCAGAAAGGCCACATGGACTTTGGCGTCCTCCATGTGTTCTCTCAGCCCTGGGCCTTCTATAACCCTGAGCGAGGAAGAGCATCATGAGTCACTAGACAAGTTCCAAGAGTGCCAGGGTCTCTCTCTCTCTCGGAACTTACAGAGAACAGAGGTCTGTTTATAACTAAAGTGTTTATTTCCATTCAATTCACTAACCGGTTGGTCCGCTCAGGTGCCTGCCTTTGCTCACAGGAGGGAGGCTGGCCAGACCCCTTGGCTGATGGGTTTTCCCATGGCCAAGACCCTTCAGATCTGGGCAGAGGTCTGGAGGAGGGAAGGGGGTAGGAGAGCAACACGCTTTCTCCCAGGAGGAAAGGAGCATGCCTGCACACGTCTCTGAGGGTGATGCTCTGGAAGCTGGGATATCACAGTGAATGATCCGGGTCCCGGCCTGATGCAGCTTGGTTTGGGCTCCCAGAGGAGAAACTGGGAACTGGCCATGTGAGGGCAACTCAGGAACCTCCAAGGGGCCTATTTGCCTGGAAAGCACTGCATATATTGGG